CTGCCTCCCGCCCCGCTCACCCGCCCGGGTGGTGTCCGTCAGGTCGTGGTTGGCCGCTCCCCGGGGAAACTCCCTCAGTTTCCGGCCGCTCAGGATCAGCACCCCGGTTATCGCCGCCTCCTCCAGCGCTCGATCGAGGGAACGGCTCCACGAGCCCGGGCCAGGACCGGGACCTGTCCCGGCGCTTGGGCCGCAGTTAACACCAGAGAGGCTGCCTCCCGACGCTACGGGGCCAGAATGCTCTGCAGCTGTGGACACAGCGACCAAGCCCGCAGCCGCCATTTCCTGGCCGACAGCTACCCAACCCGCCGGCTCGGCGCATGCGCGGCCGCTGGTGGGTGGGCGGGGAAAGGGACTTCCAGACCCCGGACCTTTCTCTTGACGGACAGGGCTGCGGAGCCCTCCACGCATTCAGGCGCTTGCCTCCGCCCCCGAGGTTTTAAAGGGAAAAGAAAACACAAATCTGCAGCAGCCGCCAGTAGCATTTTTAAAATGCCTCTACAAAAATATCTTTAGGACAACGCTCCTCACAAAAACTTCTCTCTGCCTTCTTTTCTCAGTACTGGAGGATTGAATTAAGCATTAAATTAAGGCTTCTTAACACTGTTGCTGCCAGAAACTTGGGCAGTGAGAGAAGGGGATGGGCATGAGGAAAGTAGGGGCACTCAAGACTCCCATTACTCATGCCCCCACTTTCCTCATGCCCGCCCCCGAAAACGTTGCGATTTAAAAAATTTCCCAACTTGTCATTCTGTAAACCAGATGATACAAATGGAAACTTGTGGATTTATTAACTATTATTGCGTGAGGAATAATAAGGGCTAAACTGGCTCCAAAAACTCCGTAGGTCTCATTGAAAGGGTTACATAAGTATTTTAGGCCTTCCCTCGCTTTTATAAAATAGTTAACAAATATAAAACAAGCATCTTAAATAGTACTCGTCTTTTAGGCAAGAAGAACTTTAGGAATTAAAGTCTAAAATTTTTTAATTAAATCTTTATTGTTCAGATTATTACAGTTGTTTCTCTTTTTCCCCCCCATAGCTCCCCTCCACCCAGTTCCCACCCCACCCTCTGCCCTTACCCACTGTCCTCATCCATAGGTATATGATTTTTGTCCAGTCTCTTCCCCCACCTCCCACACCCCTTTCCCCCCCAAGAATTGGCAGTCCACTCCCTTTCTATGCCCCTGATTCTATTATATTCACGTTTACTCTGTTCATCAGATTTTTTATTCACTTGATTTTTAGATTCACTTGTTGATAGATACGTAATTGTTGTTCATAATTTTTATCTTTACCTTTTTCTTCTTCCTCTTCTTAAAGAATACCTTTCAGCATTTCATATAATACTGGGTTGGTGGTGATGAACTCCTTTGGCTTTTTCTTATCAGTGAAGCTCTTTATCTGACCCTCAGTTCTGAATGATAGCTTTGCTGGATAAAGTAATCTTGGTTGTAGGTTCTTGCTATTCATCACTTTGAATATTTCTTGCCACTCCCTTCTGGCCTGCAAAGTTTCTGTTGAGAAATCAGCTGACAGTCGTATGGGTACTCCCTTGTAGGTAACTGACTGTTTTTC